TTATGCTCCACTCAGCCACCAGCCTACATCACAGGAACACCCCCTGCATTACAACCTCTGCTCCTCTGATGTGGCCAATGGATTCCAAAGCAGTAACACTGGAGTAGGGTAGGGATGAAGAGAGAGCAGCCTGCATGTAATTACATGAACCTAAGCGTATTAGAAACAGGCTGAAGATTGATTATATACAATAAACTTAACAGGTCAAGAGATTTGGCTGAGTTTATATTGTGTATAATATTAACTCTAACATAACTTTCTGTATTTGCTTTTGTTGGTTTTACATTTTCTGATTTTTTAGTGCTTGACTTAAGAATCTAGATATTTCCTTATTACTTTGCATTTGATATTAGTGAAACCAATGGTGATGAAAATGTCTAGCCCTCAGTCAATTCTCGTCCAGAAAAAAGGCTTTTAAGATGCAGTGGGTTTTTTAGTTATTATTTTGCAGGAGTAAAGATTAAGTAACAGATATGTGTAAGTCATTGTCCAGAATGTTATGAACGTTCTTGGACAGTTGACTGATTGTTGCTTTGCATTGCAGGCTGTTATGTAAAAGACATAAAAGACATAAAAAGTCCTTTTGTAACCACTGCTTATGTGTGTAATGTTGGTGTTTTAACACTGAGGTATACCATAAACATTTGAAATGTCAGAATGTTGCTTGCTATTCAACCTCTTCTATTACAGGATGATTCCATACATAGTACAATGCAAGTTTGTTTCTCATGACCAAAAAATGCTTGCTGCATAATAATGGAATCAGGAATCAATGCCTGCCCAAAAAGATTAAGAAACAGATAATATTAGATGGACAAAACAGCTAAAAATCAAATTCTGCCTGATGATCCTAGTCTTTCTCTATGACAGACCAACAGACCTTGTGAACAGAAAAGTAGCAGTAATCATCAAGTTATCTTGACATGACTTTTGTGAAGGCTCACTCACCCTTTTTCTGTCAAAGACAATTTAATTCAGGTTGCATGTATTTACAAGTGTATGAATAATCAAAGACAAAAATGATCTCATAATCAGCTCAAGCAGTAATCGTGGTCAGTCTGATTCACACTGGCCCTTATTTGAGTGGGAGTTTGACCAAATGAAACCCAGAGGTCCTTTCCAATCAAAATCGTTCTTTAGTTCTGTGATCCTGTGATACTGAAGCAGTATGCAAGGATTTTTGAAGGTGGCGCTAAAGTTAAAAGTATTCTTACATCAATTCAGTAGGAAGTGCAGATATAATTCACCCTGTCTGATGTTGGAGAAACTGATTGAACAATGTCCTGAAACCTTTTTGCCTGTTACTTTGGTGGTTCACTGATTAGTAAATATATTGGTGTTGTAAAGTATAGTGTGGAAAATTTGTGCTATTGTCACCTCAATTGTTGGAACATTCTGACTGTCATAGTGGTTTACATCAACAGGATGTGAAAGGTATTTTTAGATTATATATCAGCACGGAGCTTCAGTCTTAAGATCAAAGATTCACAGGAAAGTGTTACATTAAGAAATGTGCCAAAGGAAAATAGCTGTTTGAGAAAAGTGTTATGAAAGCTAGGTAGATTGTAGGAAAAACTAATATACTTTCACATGATTCCGTAATATTTAGAGCTGTCATTTTTGCGTATGTACAGCAAAAATATTGTGCAGTCAGAACTTACACATTAACATTACAGAATAGTCATATAGCTTATATTTAAAATGTTATAAACCTTCAGCTCTAGAATTTTAAAGTTTAACCATATGTTCATGTTCAGTGAAAATTCTTTGATGTATGGAGAAGCATGAATGGTCATTTAAATTGTAAGAAATATGGGGCTTGGATAGTTGGGAGGCATAAAACTAAATCCTTTTACAATGTTCATTTCTACTGAATTAAAATGAGGAAGATTGACATAATTATCTGAGCAACAATGAGCTCTGGGTTAAGTTGATGTTCCCAAGAAAGTCAAAGAATTATATGAAGTGAATTAAAATATGTGGGATGTACTATCTATTGATGTTTAATCTTTTTTTCCTTCCTGGCTTTTGCAAAAGTTGTAACTGAATAGATATGCTCAGAGTAATGTTTACCTTTTCCTCTATGTCAGTAGGACTTTTCCCACTAACCAGATAAATGGTTTTTAGACATTTGATTTGACGCACTCTAAATCACGAGAACATTAAAAATTAAATATTATAAACTGCTTAATATCTGAAACATCTGAAACTGAAATATATAGCAATGCACTGCTGCACATATTAATTCATCTACTTTGCTTATAATGGCTTTCCCCATTTGTACATAATGCACCCAGTAGCTCTGACTTGGTTTGATTTTGTGCTTTTCTTTCCAGGTTTGGATTTATTCTTCATAAAGATGAGCCTGTGCTCCAGAAAATTGATCTGGAAACTATGTCATACATCAAGACAATTAGCTTAAAGGATTATAATTGCATTCCTCAGTCACTGGCTTATACACATCTTGGAGGATACTTTTTTATTTGCTGTAAGCCTGATACCACCGGGGCTGTCCTACCACAGCTTATAGTGGATAGCGTTACTGATTCTGTGATTGGATACAATGGCGACATAACAGGCACGCCACATATTTCTCCAGATGGACACTACCTTGTCAGCATTGATGATGCAAAAGGTCTTATGAGGATCCAGTCCATAACAATGAGAGGAGAAATACAGGATGCATTTGACATTCACACTAATTTGCACATATCTGATGTAGCTTTTCAGCCATCGTTCACTGAAGCTCATCAGTACAATGTCTACTGTAGCTCCAGCACACAAACTGATGTTCTTTTCATGGAGCTCTCCTCTGGCAAGGTTAAGATGGTGAAGAGTCTGAAGGAGCCTGTCAAGACAGGTGAATGGCCTTGGAACAGTAAGAACCGTCTTATAAAAGACAGTGGCCTTTTTGGTCAGTATCTCATGACCCCTTCCAAGGAATCTCTGTTTATCCTGGATGGACGGCTCAATAAGCTAAATTGTGAAATCACTGAAGTTGAGAGAGGCAACACAGTAGTTTGGGTTGGAGAAGCATAAGGATCTGTGTTAGATATTTACTGAATAAATAGTTTTACAGTACATTGCACTTAAATTACACCATTCTTCAAATTTACCCAATTTTCATTTTAAATTGTTAGACCCTTCTGTACCTGTTATTTCTTTGACTTGAACACAATTTGAATCAGCTTCCATGTAAAAGTTTCTAAAACAACCGTTATTCAATAATGCTACTCATTAATTATCAGCTGAGATTGTGTTGTTTGACTGAAATGACTAAATATTGAAATTGATGATAAATTTCATACATTATTTTAAAGAAAGTAAAGAAAAAACCTAAAAACTTCAGGGAATTTAATATGATATTTTGCATTTGTAAATGGAAGACTTAAATATGATTCAAATTTTGGTTTGATTTGCTTCAGACACAAAATAAGAGGTGTTGTACAATCTTTGACTCCTTTAACTGAAATGTTATGTCCTGTTTTGTCCAGTCCACAGTTTAATCTTTTTGTGCCTTGAAGCGAAAGTCTCACATGAAAGATAAAGCATAGAAATTGTATAATTTATTCCCACTGTGGCTACAGGATTGCTTGTCATTGGAAAGAAACTTTTGGTATCAAATTTCTAGTCTCAAGTTGTGGAACATACATGGAGAGGAAACAGGAGAAATTATATTTGCAGTGTTTTCTGATCACTGCAATTTGAGGAGTTTATTTTTATGATGAGTATTAGTTGAGAGAGCTGCTTGCAGAAGCTTAACTTTTTTTTAGAAAAAAGTAGATATTAGGTTTTTCAGCTATCACAGCGTTTCGTCAGCAAGGAATTTCAATTCTACTAAAGAGAAATATTGCACTTATCCTTTCAGAATAAATCAAGTGCTAAAAACCTGGCATCACAAATCTTCACTTATATCATCGAGGAAACTGTTATTTAAAAGCAAACAAAATGCATTTTGAGAAACTGAAAATGCGAAGCACTGAAGTCTACGACTAGTAGACAACATTTTTCTTATGCATTGTACCATTGATCCATATTTGTTAAAGCATTTGGTTAGCTCAACAGGTTTTCTATTTCATGCATCCAATTGGACTAGTGAAAAAAAAAAACCCAAACAACAAAAACTTTGTATTTTTAATGGTTTGTTTACTTAGAATTCTAATATTAACAATGGTTAAACATGTAAATGGGAAAAATAAGATTCCCAGAAGTAGAATAACAAACCAGTAGGATCAGAAAGCCAGCAGTAAACAACTATCCAGACTTAGAGCAACGACTTAAAAGTTTGGAAGTATTTTTATTTTTATTATGTTTTTGCTAAAGAATGCTTATAAGCTTTTAAACTGACCTCCATTTACTGAAGGCAATCAGAAAAAAAAAATCTTTTTTTAAACAAAACTTTACTGCAATTTAGATTGTGTAAAATTGCTTAGAAATCTGGAATTTTCTAGCATTGTAATCTAGTGTGCATTTAGCATCCTGCCCTGTGTGGTACAGTAGATCTCTCTTTAGCTTGAGCAAAACTCCTGGTAGGTAGATTTAACTAAGATAAGAGTCTGCTTACATTTCTAGCTACAGAATCTGTTTTCCTTTTTAACAACTTTTCTCCATTGTAAACAAACAAGAATCATGTAAACTGTCCGTAACTTATTTGCAGTAGTCTGTCTCACGCATTTTTCTTCTGTAACTTACACCACGTGAATGTTCTGTATGTAGAAAATGCTTGACAAAAGGAGAATAAACTCCGCAAATTTTAAACAGTCCTGACTCTGGTGAATGCTCCAATGTGGCCACAATGAGGTGGCATGTAATACAGACTTTATTTGAAAGCAAGGTAGAAGGAAGTTCATCTGCCCATTATTTTATATATATATATAAAAACCAGATGTATTTATATATATATATATATATATATATATACGTAAATATACAGTGTGGAAAGAAAACTTTTTAGGAGACCTTAAGTAATTGGAAAAGATTCCTTTGGCTGATACAAAGAAAAGCTCATCTATTAATCAATTAAGCACAGAGTAATTAGAGTATGGACTGATGTCTATTCTCCTACCCAGCCTCTGGAGCCAAAAACCTCTAGTCTAGAAGCTGTACAAACATATAAGCCCAAACCAAGAAGCGTTCACTCCAGTAGCCCATCTGAACAACTCCCTATGCAGTCTGCTCAATGTAGGTGGATTGTACGCTTACTTTGCCCTCTCCTTGCCTAACCATTAACATTAAAGATAAGAATTTAATCCCATGATGATAGTGAGATTCCTTTCACAGCAAAAGCTGTCCTGTGTTCTGCCTGACCTCTTACAATCTCTATCAAAGTCCAATTCAGTTGTCAGTTTTGGCAGTGTCTTATTGTTTTGTATTAGCAATATTTGGCAATTGGAGAAGCTTTAAAAAATGAATAAACTATGTTGCTCATTATATGAAACAGAAGACAAAAATCTCCACTAATAAACTTAACAGATTTGACTATGTCAATAATATCACAGTAACTTGTGTAGTATAGAAACTGTCCCAATCAGTTTAGAATTCTTGTTTGAAACCAGTTTCTCAATTCCCACCCTAAGAATATCTCTGACTCTAGCTGAAGCAGTTTGGTAAAGAACTATTGCAAATTCCCTGTATTTTGTTTAGCTAGTCCAGTGTAACAGCTCAAAGACCATGGTTTGTTTCTTTCCCATTGTTACAGAACTGAAACAGGTTTCTAGTGTGCACAAGTTGTCTGAGCCCTTTAAAGAAATGAAAAATCAAACGCTCTCTTTGGTGCTTCAAACTTGCCTTAATACAAACCCAGGTGTAACAAGAGTTGGTTTTGAATCCTGTCTTTCCTAATTGCTGTTAGAAGCAGAAGCAATGAATGCCTTCTCTTAATTTGTGGTAAACACTAATATTTTATTTCACAAGCTGTTGCAAACTTTCAAGATTCAAGATTTTCTTGTGGATATCTATTAGAGAAAAGTAGTGGAAGATAATGGAAACGTAATGGAAGAAGCCAAATGCACATGATGACCAAATTCTGTTACAGCTGCTGAAAGTTTTCACTATGTTTCTGTACACTAACAAATTTGAGAAGCACATGTGAGGACAAGACGGAGTGCTCTTCACCAGGGATTGTGATGATAGAGCTGCTTTTGCTAAGGTATTTTAAAAAATTATTTATGAGACATGGAGAAAAGGCTCTGTCAGGTTAATTTAAGTCACCAAGAGAAAGACAATATGGTGCCAAAAAAAAATAAAAATGTTACATTTCCCTTCAGTTTGGCAGTAGGCATTTTTAACAGTTCATACCAAAAAGTATCTTTTAAACTTTTAATCAGTATTCCATACTGATAAACAGCTAGTTATTTGCTGCATTACTATATGTATATAAATCAATAAGTATGAGGAACTATAAACAGATGTTTTTTTTAAAGTTTCTCTTTTATAAGCTAGAGATTTTTTATTTCAAAATATGATCTTGCAATTTTTCACTTTTTGCATGTGGTCTGAAGTATCATCATCTTTGTTTATATACTTGCTGACTGCTTCGTTTATAATATCAAATTGTGAGAGATTTCTAGTTAAGCCACTGCATAAATAGGTAAACTGAGCTCAGAACAACACCTTCAGTGCATTTAATTATATTTCCTGTAAGCAAATGATTTCAAACATCTAGGCATACGGTGCCAAAGAGTTCATAAGTCCAAAAATAAAATGTCTTTGCAAATATTTAAGAAATATATCCTGTATAAGCATATCTTTAAAAACTTCAATGGAAAAAAAATATGAAACAATTTTCAAAGAACTCCACATATTTTTATAACTGATATGAATGATGTTAAAAGTGTCATTTTGAGTTTTTATTGAGCCTCCTGCTCACACTGTATCATTAGGTAAGGCTGTCTTAAATACACGTCAAAGGACATCTGAACTTTTAAGACTATCATAGTATTTTTTAGATTTTAAATAATGACTCTTCAACAGCAGTTTCAAAGTCTTTAACAGAATCTTCTGAGCTTGAATATGGTATTTCTTTGTATTATTGAACAGCTGTTTTGTTACACTGAGGTAATGTCTGCATTTCAGTTAGGAGCAAAATATTCTCAAATACAGAGTACAGAATAGCAGACTTGCAAATTATGAAAGTTGTATTAAGAAAAGAACATAGTTATTGAATCATTTTGTGTACTTACCACAAGATACTCAGTTTGATTTCAACTGAAAGAGCAGCTTAATTGGGACATTTGGTTTTACCTAGTGAAAGACCAATAACAGGATACTTTCCAGGATATTTTCTAAAAAAATTGGTAGGTCTGAAATAATTCTAAAAAAAAGAAAAAATATTACCATGCATCTCTACTAATTTTTCCCTTTTTCATGGTATTTTGAAGTGAACATCTGTGATGCATTTCAAGACCTTCTGGAAAAAGAACAATGAGTTGCTCCAGGAAAATGCCTAGTGAATGTTATAAAAATTAAAAATTGCATTAATTAACATTTCCACTTATTCTCCTTATTCTGCCAATCATTCTCTCAAACAGCCTTAAGGGAAACCAATACAGATGGATAAGCTTTGCAAAATATTTTATAGGTCAACAGATTCCAATTTTGTATCATTTAACTCTGTTGTGTAAATGTGAGGATTTGAACCAGGCTATGCTGTTTCCTGGGCAAGTGCTCTCACCACTGGATAGGGTACAAAAAAAAGAGGAAGCCATTGCCCATGCTTCCTGCCGATCAATTTGAGCTAGAAGAACTCAAGTCACATCTATAGCCATCTCTTCAAAAGAAACACTTTAATATGGAGGAAGTCCTGATCACCAGTCATCAGTTCGTATTTTGCATTTTGATTTTCATTTTAAGCCGGTGCTAAAGAAACTTACCAATTACTTTTGTTTTGAGGTTAGCAACAAAAATGTGGAAAATATAGGAAGAAAAAAAAAAAAAGACGTATTTCAATATTATTCAGCTGTAACCACCCGCAAGTCCGAGTTATTCTATGAATACAGTTGTCAAGATAGGGAGAATCATAGACTTAACTCTGCATCTCA